GGGAAGTTTCCATGCCATCACTGTAAATTATCTCTTTTGAATACATAAATAAAGCTCGGAGAGAGCTGTGAACGGGAAGGGGGCGGGGGATTGGGTGCAAGTTTGTACAAACGTGTGTTCCAGCGCTTTCTCTGTTTCACACGTGGAGGTCCTGTGAGGAAGAACACTGCACATTCCAAAAGTAGACTGGAATATGTGCAACATCATGTAGGCTGTTACAGACTAGTGTTGTGCTGTTACCCTGTGGTTATATTTACTGCTGAAACAACGATCAACTTATTAATCATTTTAATTGTTGGTTAGACTAAGTTAGACATTTTAAGATGCAGCTAGGGAATCTGATTACTCTGCAATTGTCAAATTCTCTAAACTATTAAAACATAAATTGAATGAAGGAAATAGAGTGTTAGCATGTATAGTATAATATTCAGTATGTGTTTGCTAGAGCATGTATAGTAACCACCATTAGGCATGCAGTGACAGATATATAGCTAATTATTTGATACAGAAAGAGGTTATTTAATGTAAAGAAAATAATAACAATAATGATGACAATATAGGTCAGTTGTCCAGCTTTGGAAGTTCTTTAAAGGTTTGTTTGGGCATAAGAAAATAACATTATAATAGAAAATAGAATAAATGATTGAGTTATTACTGGAATAATGGCTGTAATGTAATGATTTGGATGGTTGTTGTTTATTGACAGGTTTCTCTGCATTGATTTAATGTGCGTGGTGCATTGTGCGTCTGCAAACTTCTTAATGGACAGTTGCAATATTTCTTTCCTTTCAAGGGCAGCATATATCTAATATTTATACGAAATAACGAACCCATTTATCTGGAAGTGTATTTTCACGGGGTGGGGGGTAGGGCTTCATAATTTGCAGCTATTTAAAGCCCTGGTTTTGGTAATGAATTATTTTGTCATCTCGACTGTGATGAGATTCATCTTTAATAACTGTAACAATTATTTTATTAAAAAGAGAAGCCATGCATTATGGCTATCTCGCCAAGGTCTCAAGCTGGAAGGAATTCTCATTAAGAGCATTATATTACCCCGGTGCGCTTTCAGTTGGATGTCCCGCTGAAATTACATTAGGTGTCAACAATGTTTGTGTTAGAAGTAAGCAGTCATATTTACAGAGGCTAGCTTTTTCATTTGCTGGCTGACACTGGGAGATGTATTAAAAAAGATACTAATGCTCTGTATCTGATTAAGTCACTTAGAGAGAAACTCCTCCAAAGTGTTGACTTTTAATATAAGGCGAGCCCTGTTCTGTCATCAACGCAGACATAAATCTTTATTTGGAGATGAGGAACTTTTGATTGCTTGAGATTATTCAGTGATTTATTTGGTTGGCACACAGGACTGTTATCACCCCTCGTTCCCAACATTTAGATCCTTTCCAAACTGTAAGCATCAGGTTGTTTGTGTCATGATTGATTCATCAGTGTCTTTTCATCTACATCCTGTGTTTCTTCTGATGGTTAGCGTGGTGTGCAACATTGTGTTTTGTTAATGGTTTCAGGCCCAGGGTTGCTGCTAATGACATGGTTGTAATTGTTTGTCAGTGTGATAATGTGTGATTTCCTATTTCCATGTAAAGTTGGACATTTGATGAAGGAGGGATCTTGTCAGGAAGACAAAGTGCTGTCATTTGTCACCAGCTAAATGAGCTTCTCTCCCGACATCCTCTTGGTTTTCAGCGGCAATATTATATTCACAGATCCTTTTTTTTTTTTTGGGCTGTTCCACATGCTTCAGTGCATTGTATAAAAGAGCCTAGATTAAGATCAAACCAACAGTGAGATACAAGTTTCTAGAGTCCCTCAGGTTGTGTTCTGTGCTGACATATAGAAATCTGTTAACTGTATTTCACAGAAAGACAGAAGTGAAATTACAGAGTGTGGTAATCTTTTATTCTTAGTGTGTGCTAGGAGTCATCACTTCCTTAAACCTAACATTTTTAAACTGAGAAACTATTTCATCATCGTCAGAGGAAAGACTGTCAGTTCATGTATACATTGAGTTAGGATCTTCTGATCTGATCATATAGCCAAATAGCTGTCTTTGGCTACCAGTCAGTGATATATTTTGTCCATTTTGTGTGTCTCCAGTAATATCATAAAGTTATGAGGCACACATTTGCAGCAATTGAAGGACAGGATTGTGAGACTGCCTTCATACTTTCCAAAGTCTTTGATGCAGTCGCCCCCTGAACAGGCTCCTTCTGTTTCTGATTAGACTGATTCCATATTGTGGGGTTGGGGGCAGATCCTTCCTAGTTAACAATCTAATGAGCTAAACAAGCCAAACAAAGGGGAGGTATATTGAATAGGTCTCCTGAGGGAGCTACTTATTGTCGCAATTGCCCCTCTGTCTTCTCTTTCCACTCCATATCGATTCATGTCTTCATTGGTTATGCTCTGTCCGCTGTAACACATGGGTGGTGTAATCAGCTAAATGTAGCCTCTGCTTTCTTATTATTACCTGGGTGCTTAACACTGATATATATTTTTTTCCTTCAAGGACAAATGGTGTAGGAGAAGGCAGATCCCGTGTGAAGTCCCCGAGCTCTCGCCGAGCGGCAGATCCCTTTTCGGTGCCAGCTGTTCTCTCAGATACACCAGGCCGTGCTGAAATTCTCTTAATATAATTCTGGGGGGCTCGGGAGAATTGTGCAAAACAAGCGTGCCAGCCAGGAGAACGTTGAATTTTTCATCAGCGGGCCTCAACTCGCTGAGTTAGTGGGCAGCGCTCTCATTCATGAGCAGATGTTCAGCGCAGTTACACTCTGCAGTTAATGTGAACTTACTGGCCTCTCTGCCATTGGCTGCAAGGACGTTGGCAGCGACCTGGCATCTGAGAATTACTCTCAGTAAAAGGCGCAGGCCTGGAAAGCGTAGCCCCGGCCTTTTTTAGCCACTTCCCAGCCCAGGAGCTGGATCCTGGACAGGGGAAGGCACTGACAGCCCATCCGTCTTCGGTCCGACATTGATAAAACACTTGCCACTGTTTGCTCAGGGAATAGCAGTGAAATTCCTGAAGATAATTTCCACAAGTTTGTAATTTCTAATGACTGGTTACACCACCCAGCAGGTGAAATATACTGTATGTGTGAGAAATCTAAGTACATGAAGGTACCAGCACCCAAGCTTTGTATGAAACAATTTTACATGCAGAGGAATTATTCCAGTACCCTTGAAAGAGGAAACTCATAGAAACAAGGCACCTGTGAGGGGTAACATTTTGGCCCTGGTAGGTCTATAGCTGAAAGCAGCTGGTGCTGTGGTCAGCCTGGTGGGCTGTATCCTCTCCCCAGCCCGGTGCTTCAGACATCTGCATGCCCAAGCTGCTCAGCCTACGTTTGATGTGGCCATACAGATCTGTAATAGCTTCCTTCTAACTAAGCAAAATGCTATTTGATGTAAAGTGCCATTAACTGGTCAGAGTGTGTACGTGACATCAGGTTTTGTAGGCGGCATGCCAATCATCTCGAGTGTGTGTGAAAGTCATCACAGTGAAGTTGTGCATATGGGACTTAAACAGTGGAAATGACAAGCTCTTGTTTCCTCTGCACGTCTCATTTTCACTTTCTAATTGGTCGTTTTCAGGTTGGCTTTACGAGAGCAAAACTAATTAGTGTTTCTAAATTCAGCAGGAAAAAAAAGTCAGTCGGGCTTGATTGTTCTGGTTTCCTCTCCTGTGTCAGGCGCTCAACAATAAAATAAGACTCTAATCATTTTCAAATTGCTCGTATTTTTAAACCCCAGAGCTGAATGTCACTCCCGGTCTCTTGGCATTTTGTTTGGCAAGATCAGGGAACAGTGGTTGCCCTCTCGCCTGTGCGCTCTCTTTGTGATTCGTGGGAAGTTTGGACTTGGGGGCCGGTGGAAAAAAAAAAAGAACTGTTGTGTTTTAGGTGGGGTTGTTTCTGCTTTGATTGGGAACGTCCTGCTGACAGGAGCAGCCTAGCAAGTTTACAGTAGCTGTGACATTGCTGTTACCTTTATTCAAAGTGCTCCAGCTGCAGCGAGCCCTCAGGAAGCCCAGCTCGGGCCCACATGGGCGGCTGGCGGCCCACAGAGAGGAGAATGAGCCCTGTTTGAGTTGGCAGACACTCCCCTCTCGGGGAAGTTTTGCTGCCTCTGCAGAAAGGCCAGCGGCGGCGGCTCTGGTGGGGCGGCGGTGATTCTCGGGGCAGGATGGGCTTTTTCCACCTCTCCTCCCTCTCAGGAAACACATTTTGCTGTTTCTTCCCTCTGTGTTTGCAAACGGAGGGAAGGAGTTAAGGCTAGGGGGCATGGGGCAGTGGGACTGAATGACAGAGCTCAGCTGAGTGCTAACGTGTGGTGATTTGAAAAGGACTGTTTATTACCCTGAACAGGCTATATCAGCATGCTTGGTGGAGCTTCATTCACATATGATATGAATGAAATATATATGAATAAAAACACTTGAGTGTGCTGTAAAACTGTTTTTATTTTCCCATCAACACTGTAGGGATTCAGTCTTCAGAAGCCAGTAATTAAAAAGTGCTTGGTCTAAGGTTAGGGGGGAGCAGTGTTTAAATGCAATTAGTTGCAATGCTCAAATTAATTTTGACTCATTTACAGTTTTTGTCATTATTTGCGTAATCAAGGGAGTTCTCGTTTGAGATGCTAAATATGTACCCACAGATATTTAATTCTGCCTTAATGAACATTCATGTGAAAGTGACCTGTTTTGTGTCCCTCCACTTTTGCTCTCACACTTAACTTAGAGATGTGTGTGTGTGTGTGTGTGTGTGTACACTCAACCAAATAGCATCTGAGGTGACTCCACTGTTACTATTTATGTTTGCTTTTTGTTAGTCACCTTTACATTTCAAATAATTTCCACTGTTTCTCTCTCTCTCTCTCTCTCTTTTCCTTTCTACCACCCCCACCCCATGACTTTCCTTCCTACCTCCTCTCCTCTTCTTCTCTCCTCCCCTTCTCTCTGCTGCTCGCCGGTCCAGTCAGGAGACTCCAGTGGTGACATCCTGTGGAGCCAGAGATCAAAGTAAGTACTTCTTATGCACGTCAGTTAGCACAGAAACACTGCTTGTGTATTATTTTTTACATCCAACTCATCATAATTTTCAAACTTTTGGACCAACTGGTTTTTATTTTATTTTTAAAGAAGGGCATTGTGTCGAAATTGTTGTGCGAGTTTGATGTGATAAGAAAAAGGTTTTGCATAGCAGCCGATTTCCTCATTTCCTGATGCAGTTGCATATTTACATCACTTTGAATGAGGCTGAACATGACAACAGTGACCAGTTCAGTCAGGCCTGAGAGTCCTCTCAGTGCTGACCGCTGAAAGTTGTCTGTGAACCTGAAAAGTAAAGAAAATTGCAGATAGTGTGCCAGATCATGTCTGCATCCCCCTGACTCTCCTAGAAGTCATTACTCCTTTGTGTGGTGTATAAACACGTCAAAAACAAACAATGACCCCGGGCAGACTCCACACTGCAAAACAATTTCAAAGCCTGTAGTGTAGTGTAAACACAAAACATGGCTAACCTTCACGCAGGGAAGACTTCACCTTAAACCCGCTGTTTGTTTTATAGTCCCTGTCGACCTTGGTCAGAAATAGTTTACATCTCTTCGGTTCTCTTCTGGTCGATGTAGCTCAGGTTCTCTGCTGACATTTTGGTTGAGGCTTTCAGTGGACCTCCGCAAAAGGTTGGGATGTTGTGTTTTGATTGAGGTTGCAGATTTTTATTATTTGAATACATGTTAAATACATATGACTTTTTTTTTTTAGAAACATCAGAATCAGGTTAGAAAAAGCCGCGAGATAGCATTTAGACCATCATGGGACATTAAAACTCTCAATGGAGGCTGTACTAATACATTTATTTTAGATAGACTAAAGTCACCTTTTCAAAATAAAAATGATGGCAAGAAAAAAGCGAGGCGGATGACTCTATGATCTGTCATGAAGTACAAATATTGTCAAGATGTTCCAGCAAACTCAAATGTTTTTCTAAACGGAGCGTTAATACTGTTTTGCTGGGGTGTAGATTTCCCGTACAGGGACCCTATGTATCAAGTAGTGAATATTCATATTCTTGTTTCATAGACTCCTCTGCCTCTGTGAGCTCTTTCACACTGAGCCGGGGGTGACTGTAGGCTGGTGTGAACCCGTATTTTTAATAAAGCCCAGCTGCTGAATGATCAAATAGTGTCTCTAATTAAGGCCTGAGTGTACACCCATGTAAAATTCTCTGTGGAATGCTAACAACCTGTGATATTTCCAGAGGAATTTGCTGTGCAGGTCTCAGAGAGAGGGGCGGGTGGGGAGTGGAGGGTGTTTGGGGGTTTGGAGGGAGGAGGGGCAGTGTTCATGTGGCAAGCCAACATGTTGTTCACATCCGTGTCAGATTGAGGCTAATGAAGGCCAGACTGATCCTTGGATGCAAGCCTTAAGTAAATGATCCCTCTTTGAATATATTAGAGCCTCGTAGCGGCGTTGCGCCTCCCTGCCGTGCCAGCGCTGCTGCTACGTGTTGTCTTGTGGTCTGACGAGGCTGGTCAAAATGGCAGTCACGGTGTTCGATCACGTTGTACACCATCCAACCCGATTTCAGTTTGTCTTGCAGCAGTATTGTTGCATCGAGTCGGTGGTGAGGAACTACACACACACACTGATCGTTTCCACGTTAGTGCTTCTGCAAAACAGTTTGATAGTAAATGGAAAGTATGAGTGTTGTGTTATTTGACAATGTAAATGAGCCATCTCAAATTTTTCCCCACCCTCTTAAGAGGGATTAAATTTACATAACAGGCTGGAGTTTGGTACTCATGCAAATTGTTCATGCAGACAAACCCTAGTTTTCCCATTTTGCAGTTATTATTTTTTATTTTTTATTTAAATTGAAATAATTAGGTTTATCAGAACATGTAAACGTAATAATAATGAAATACATTATAAAAATAGCAAAGAGTTAGAAAAATAGCAAAAATAAATAAATCTCACTGACAGAACTTTTCCACTGCAATTTAAGGCCACACTGGCACTTTGCATGTAAATGAATCCTAAACGTGTAATTACGAGGCACTTTTGAATATTGATTGGAAAGACAAGGACACAGAAATGAAGCACTTGTGAATGCACCCCTCCTAAGCTACTGTAACAACCCATTAATAAATACCTTTCTGGCTCTTTAGTGCTGGGCTTGCCTTACACTGAGTGAAACAATGTCGTTTGATTTTCGCTGATATAGCATGTGTACTTCATAGATGGATGGATGGGATGGATCCAATTAGCCATGGTCATTGCTCATGTATTTAAGCTGACAGTGGGAGTCTTGCATAGAATATCCTTGATTTGGGTAGTTTTGTAAAATGCTCCTGCAAAGTACTTTAAAAGCCCATAAAAAGCACATTGTGAGGAATGCACCCTAGATGGAGATTTGATTTACAGCTGTAGCAAATGTTCTCAATTAGACATGGGAGGGAAATCATTTATTTTCAGTAGACAGTGTACAATGATGGGGAATACTTAAAAGATAATAAAGTGACCAGGATCCATACCTTTTTTCTTTTCCTATTATATACAATCAACACTGCAATTACTTCTGACTTTTACTTAAGATTTCATATGGGGTTTATTAGCACATAATGCATCTTTGAGTACAGAGCACTCACTTCCTGCAGCCTACACGGCGCACATTTGCAGCAGGATTGATGGCTTGTGACACCAGCGGCACAGGTGCACGTAGTGTCTCATAAGGCCCCCTGACCTTTCACATGATGTGTACCATGCTGGCCTGTTTGTAAGCGCGAGCCCTGTTTGTAAACACGGACAGAAGGATGAGAGGCGCATTTGCCCCGGTCGTGCTCAGCTCGCAGACAGGCACAACGCAACGTGACAAGCAACAGATGTGTCACACAGGCTGAAATCAAAACAGCCGTCCGGCACGGAGTTGCGCGCACCCCATCAGACGTGGTTGCTGTGATGAGGCGGGGAGGCAGAGAGCGCTGCTGGCAGACGAGACAAGGCAGCGCCTCTGCTGCTCCCAGCTTCCTGTCTGGAAGAGGACAGGCCCGTTTGTAGGCTGCTTTGACACCCCTAGTCACTTTGTCATCTGGGGTGCTCGCCGCAGCTCTGATCACATGTACACACTGCATTCAAAGAGCGTCACATCAGCCGTGTGACAGGTAGGCTCCCAATGAGACAACAGCCAAAGGCGATGTCCTTTTCAATACACTGTGTGAGTACAAATGCACAGTGCGCCAAGAGAAAATAACATCATATGACATCATTCTGAAAGCTCTTATGTTGTCTTTTTTCAGTTTGGAAAGAAGTTTGTAATACAGTGTGGTTTTCAGAACGGCCCTGAATCAGAACAGAGAGACAGGCACTAAAGTCACACTCAGTCCATCCACGATGTCCTCTTCATGCAAACCCATTGTTGTGTGTGACAGGAAATGTGCAGCAGGCGTTAGCTTTACACGTGTTAATGATATTCTCAGCAGCTTAATCTGCCCATAGCCACTGCCCCATAAGCAAATAGTGTGGATGAATGTTGAGCTGTGGGGGGAGAAATAGGAATCCATCATCAGAACAAGTGAATGAATGAAGGTGCCGCAACAGCTGCTTGACTGATCATGTACTACAGACTGTCACCCCACATCTGTTTACTACTCCGACAGCCACACAAGTGTTTATATCCACGGGTGTAATTGAGCTATTTTCCCGAGGGCAGCTGTAACCCACACTAAGTTATATCCCAACTTTCCATTAAAGCGTGGGGGGAAGTTTTACTGATAGTAATCACGCCCAGCAACAATGCTATGTAAATATGGCTTATCAGCTTTGCCAATTTGGTTAAGTGGCATGTACGTGGGTGATTCACATATTCAGCTCCGTGGCTCCAGCACAGGCCACATACAGTAGTCATTTATTAAACATAGGTAACTTGCATTGTTAAGAAGTATGTATAAAGCATGCACATAATCATGAAAATGATGCTGTGTAGAAAAAGATGCAAATACGCTCACAAAGTCTTTAACCGACCATGTGGGCAAACTTAACTGTCTGCATGCGCAGTATATGGAAATTGAAATGGGAACATCTAGATCTAAAACACACCATTTAAATATTCAAATGTTAACACCAAACAATATAATGCATTATGGCTCTTAGTATTTGCGTACAACTCTGTTTGCTGCTGTGAGCTGGGGATGATACAAGGAAGAGAGATAGTGAGGGAGAGACACTGGGTGGAGGATATGAAGCACACAAACAAAGCCTTTGTCTGCCAGTCATAGGAAAATGGCATCCGACTTTGTATGTTAATTCTTTAAATGTTACTTTAAGTGCCATTATTGTACATAATATATCAATATCAGTCTAATCAGATTTTTATTTGCGTATGTTAATATAACCGACAACCTTTTCTAGTAATTAAACAGTAGAGAGAACATGGGTGTGAGATATTAATATTTTTTGATTATCTTTGTTTCATTGTGGTTACAGGGGAAAAACAGAAGAGAATAAAACCACTGAGGTAGCCGAGTTGCAGAGATAATAGGCCGCCTTCCCTTCCTCCACACAACTGAATCTTCACTAATTTGTAGACACGTTTTCTAAGCAACCCAGAGCTCTAACTTTAGTTTAAACTACCAGTGTTTTTCCATGTTGACAACACAATAATTTCCATCCCTAATTGTCTTCAACTTAAGGAAAGCATTTCAGCTGTCCGTTTTCACACGCGATGTTTCTTTTTTCCTTGTTGCAAGCGACTATTTTGCACAAAAATCAAATTGAAAGTTATGCAAGGTGCTCAGAATGTGGTCACTGCACCTTTGGTTACCGTTTAGGTATATAGCAGAAGTTCTAAAAATCAGAAAGTGCTGAGTAACAACACATTCTCTTTCACATTCAACCAATCACAATGAAGGCAGCAAACATAGTGGCGGCTTCTTTCTGAACGTTTAGAACACTAAATGGTGGGATCAGATACAATGGAGCCACAGGTAAACTGAAATTAGCCGTTTACTGTAGAAACA